ACTGATAAAACTCATTGTTCTAAGATGCCTTTAAAATAAAACGATCTAAGAAGACCTCTTTGATCAAACCAGAAGTCTGTCTATAGGAATATTTCATCTTTAGCAACTCCAAAAGCAAGCATAAAAGGCTTAATGTACTGGGCTCTTGATAATTGTTTTTTAAAAAATGTTATTTATTTAGCCATCATGACTAATAAACATGTTTAAAGTCTTTCAGAGTAACAGACATCTTTTATTTTGTGACAATGAATTCCACATTATATACAGTATATTTAAGAGGGGGGGGGGTCAGTTGGATCATAATCAATGGATCATCATAATATCTAAATTTCAATGGATCATCATAATATCTAAATTTCACTTCCAAGTTCAGAGCCAACATATTTTTCAAGCTGATATAGTGAAGTGTTACTACCTTCAGCCTCAAGACAGCATTTTGACTCTGCGACATACTTTCTATCCACTCAGTGTTTTACTTAAAATGCCCCAGAGTGAATTAGGAGGATTAAGATGTATTTCTTTTGGAACATAAAAAGACTAAAAAGACTTCTTAAAAAGACTAAAAAACAAGGACACATCAACATACACTTCATAGAAAGAAAGGCCTAATTCTGTTGGTAAAGATCAAGAATGAGAAGCATTAGTGGCCTTCCAGATGTTGCTAAACCAAAAATCTAAGAATCATTCCTCTGGCATAGATACACACAGTTTTCCTTCACTCCACCCCCAGTCTGAGTATTTGTTTTTCTTTCATTCTGATTCTCAGAGACTGCCTGGACGAGTCCCTGTAGTTTTCTTGATGAGTTTTCTAAGAAGTGGTTTGCCATTGCTTCCTTCCTAGGGCTGAGAGAAAGTGACTGGCCAAGGTCACCCAGCTAGCTTTGTGCCTAAGACAGGACAAGAACACACAGTCTTCAAGTTTCTAATCTGATACTTTAACCATCATACCAAACTGGCTCTCAGTCTGAATATATATGATATTAATTGCCAGTAACAACTTTTGAAATATGCAAACCAGTCACTCAGATGAAAGAAATCAAGATTTTTGCTACACTTTTGTTGATACAGATGTTGACTTTTATAATAAGCCAAATAAGCAGAATCTTCAAAAGAAAATCTGTTATTCCATAGTCAACCACAACATTTCATATATTCTAGTGTTCCTATTGTACATTTGCCTTTAGGATTTTCTCCTTCTCCCCCCCCCCCCCTGCTTTTTCCCCCTCTTCTTAATCCCTGTTTCCTAGCAGTTCAATTTCAATAATATTCTTACATTATATAAGAAGCACTTAGAAATTCAGGCTGCAATATGACAGACACCTTTACCTGTAAGTAAGATCAACTGAAAAGATTAAGATTTGCAAGTTCATACAAAATAACTTTTGCTTTTAACCAAGAAATTGAGAAATGGTAATGGCCCTACAGTATATTTCAGGCAGAGATACAAAATGCAGCACAATATATATTACAGTAGAGGATAATTGTGGATTACAGATCAGAAGAAATGCTGCAAAGACAATAAGCCTCAGATATTAATAAAGAATTGCCTGGCCTAATTCACTGATCTTCATCAGGGGAATTTATTCAACAGTTTAAAGAAATCCGTTCAGTCACATTCTGATAGAAAAGCAAATATGTCTGAATCCAGCTTGTCTAATACTGACTCATCTGGAGGAAATGCAGTGTCTAAGGGCTGAACATATACCCTTGATAAAGATCAATGAAAATGCACTGGGAATTATTTATAAAATAAGTACTCTGCCTTACTGTCTTTTAGGTGCAACTCAAAAACTCCTCTACTCCCTTTGGGAAAATATAATTGGGTATGCTATGATATAAATTAACACATAATGAAAAATTACTCTTTCAGTTGTGAGATAGTAGTGGGGAACTATGTATCTTTTAAAATCTTGCAAATGTAAAATCTTTCAATTGGGAGTACTCAGATTCCTAATTTTGTTCATGTCCTCTTACTTATCTGGTCAGGTGGTAGCAACTTTAAAATCTTGCATATAGGAAACCCCTGATCTATTTCAAGGCAGTTACGGTGCATTAAGCTGAAACAAGTGGGGTTTGCCTGCTAAATGTAGATATTTCTCTTCTCTATCAAAAGGGAATTTAATCAAAGATGTGAAGCCTGGGGAAACCACCTAGTCCTGACTGTTAATAATCACTAAGAACTAGAATGATTGAGAACTAGAGTGAACCGAATCTTGTAAAAATGAGCTAGAACTTATATTAAAGTTTACCAGACAATAAATATAGCTCCTAGAGATTTTGTGGAATAAATGATTTCAGGTGCCAAATGTCAGCTCCTGAGGTAACACTTCAGCTTTTGCAATGAAAAGAACCAACTTTTTGAAGTTTTTCCTCAATTTTGTTCAAGCTTGCCTAAGGAGAGAACATTGTACGAATTCATTTCTTTGCTTTTTTTTATTATTTATGGCTAAAACATTAATGACTTCATTGATGTTCAGCTTGTTACATGTGGATCTCTTTAAAAGCTACTGGCAAGTTTGCAGTGCTTTATGAGGTTCAAAGGGGGTGTTTTACAGAAGAGAAACTACTGAGATAAATGGGGAGGGGGAAATCCTTGAATCTGTCTAGGGATCGTCCTGGATGTAGCCTCTCTGTATGCAGAGAAACTGATATAAACAATCCATGTAGTTTATAGGACAGATTAAAGCAAAGCTTTCTATCTACCTGCTTTTTAAAAAAGAAATATTTTATTGATTTTAATCTATTGTTAACCATTTTGGAGGAAAGACTTGCAGAAATGTTGTACATAAAACAATAAGCGGTCCTGCTTCTGATTTCTTGTGTCCCCCTCTTAAATTTGGGTGATGCACAGATTTACACTATCTCTATGAACATCTGATTCTTCTGTTATCTACTTTTTAAAGCTAGGTTGCTTTGCTTAACATGATTTTATTTACCACTTAACTTCTTTAGCCTTTAAAGGTTATATTGGATCTTTTATTATTTGAAGTGTGGTATAGTGACTCTATAAGCTGCCTGGGGTTATCAGTTGGAGTGCTGTGAGGTTCAGTCTTGGCCTGATATTCTTCAGAGGTTTTATTAATGCCTTGGATAAATGGTGGGATGCAATATTTATCAGCTTTGCAGAAGTCAAAGTAGATAAAGAAAATGGGCTGAAAATGGAATGAAATTTAATAAAAACAAAAGTCAAATACTTATGTATGAAGAATGGGGATACCTAGTATGATAATCATACTTTTGGAAAAGAACTTGGAATTATAGTTGATCATAAGCTGAACAGCAATCAGCAGGGTGATACACTGTAACCAATAAAAAGGCAAATTCAGTTTTAGAATGCATTTTATTAGAAGTTTCCAGACATGGAATAATAGTTACATTATATTCTACGTAGCTCAGGCCCCTACCTCAAGTATTGAATTCAATTCTGAATACTATATTTTCTTATATTTTAAGAATGATTTAGAGAAAGTGAAGAAGTGGAAAGAAGGCAATAGGTAAGGAAACTTGTGTATAGTTGGAGTAACTTATGACAGGTTGTTGCTGAATTGTGCTAGGTTTGCAAAGTTTCATTGCAGTTAGGGCAACAGTGACCTGTGAGGGACTATTGGCCTTCCATATATTGGGAAGTGTAATGTGGGAGTAGGAAGGAGGAGTGGATTGTGGGTTATGATGGGAGAGGTGGCATAATGAGAAACGTTGGGCTGATGATCATGGGTGTCTACATTTTGGTTCTGCTCCACCTGATTTGTCCCATGATCCTGCTGGCCAGTTCACTCATGACCTTGGCCTTAATCTGCTATTGGTAAATTGATAATTTTTGTAATAAGATATGCTCATTCATATTCACGGCTGGATCTGGTGTGCATTATTGAAACTTGTTGGGAGATAGAGATATGATTTTTTTCAGAGATCTGGTCTCTGGGAACTAGATTCTAGAGCAGCTTTGATGTTATGGTAAGTTAGGCTAGTAATGATACTGATTATCTTGATGTGACCTGCTGGAGACGATAGAGTGAATCCTTTGGCATGAAATTGTGGCGCTTAGTGGCATATCTGACTGAGCTCTTAGGTCACATCTCTGGATGAGTGTTGAAATTCCCAATGATTGCCATCGGGAAATTTTAATCATGATCTCTTGGGATCAGTTTCTGGGAAGAGTGAGGAGTTCATGGTGCAGATTCTGATTGATCTAGTAAAGCTTCCAAAAAGTAAGAGCAATTGGACAGTGGAACTAATTGCCAATGAAAGTAGTGAACTCCCCTTCCTTGGGTATGTCCAAGCAATATCATATGTTGGTGATGCTTTAGTTTAGATTTCTATGTGGAGCACAGTGTCAAGTTCGTCCACACATCTTGAAGTAGTTTGAAAAACGCTGGCATAAACGGTCCCTTCTAATTTCATAGTGAGTTTTCTTCTGTATGTGCAGCCACTTAAGCAATTGCATATGCTCTGTATACTACAAGTTGGACGATGTAAGGGTGGAATCTTTGGCTCCTACGCGATGATTCAACCCCAGCCTCCAATGATTTTTTAAATGTAGAAGTGGTTGTAATTTCATGAAGCTTTGATACCTTCATCAATGAGATTTTGGTATTTTTACCCGAATCTCATGAAATTTGGCATTCTTGCAGATCTATATTATTTTCCTTGGTCCCACTGACCCCATGTGAGCCTCCGGTTCCCAAACTCAGGATTATATACTGTGGCTTTTATTTTATTTTATTTTATTTTTCACTTCAACAATTAAATAATATGTCAGTTATTCTGGCTAATTGTTTTGATGACCCAGATGCTATTTTTAGAACTATGAAAGTTCTGTCTTAAATTCTTAATTTTATAATGTTTTGATATGAAATAAGACAATCACTTTTAAGATTTTTGAAGAAAATATTGCTCTGCACAAATGTTATAGACATAAAGTAAAGTCCAGATGATTGGTCTTTGATATGTTTTTACTTGTTCTTCAGAGCTTAATAGACCTTTCTTCTATCTGTTTTTAGGTCGGATGAAATTGAGATGATCATGACAGACCTTGAAAGAGCAAATCAAGTAAGAATTTAAAGTTGGATAGTGTCTTCTTTTCAGATTTGATAAGAAAGCTTTTTTTTTTCACTGTCACCGCCCTTGAAGATATCAAAATGACCAGGTCATAGTTAAGGACCTAAGAGCAGCCTGTACTCTTGTCTCCCTCCGTGCATTCTTGCTTTTGAAGTATAAATTATCACTATTGACTTTACCTCCAGTTTTGGTAACCTTGTTTCAATTCTTGGTTAAGTGGGAATGACAGATGGAGCAGCCATTGATATTCTTTGTACCCAATTATCCAATCATTGGTCCACTTTTTTCTTCTGTTATCTTGGGTGTAGGGGAAAACAGGGAAGAAAAGAAGTAAAAAAAAGATTTTTAATGCACTTTTACCTTGTCTTTTTCATGTTTTTTTGTTTGTATTAGATAGATAGATAGATAGATAGATAGATAGATAGATAGATAGATAGATAGATAGATAGATAGATAGATAGATAGATAGATAGATAGATAGATAGATAGATGACCTTTATTGTCATTTTTACTGTGGACACAATGGCACACATTAAAAATGAAATTTAGTTTCCTGCTCTCAAAGTGTACACATATATAACACACATTTAAACATACTATATACAACATATGTATAGTCCTACACCCTTACATATAAGTAACGTATAAATATTAATGACTGTCCATCTTGAATATATAACAGAAGGAGGAAGGAAGCTAGCTTTATTTAGTTTTTTATCTTTGTATTTTTAAACTTCAATTAGAAAATAGACTTGGTTGTAGACCTGATCCAATTTTTAAGGTTAATCAAAGTTAAACTGCATTCCATCAATACACCAGATATCTTCTCTAGTAAAAACAATGTACTTGAAGAGACAAGTAAAGAAATTCCTTGGGATTGTCTCAAACATGCTTTTCAAAAGGCAACTGGACTTTCTTTGTTTTTCTTTGAAGATGTTTCACATCCAAGAAACTTCATTGGTTGAACTGATAAAGCTTCTTGGATGAGAAGTGAAATGTCTTCAAGGAAAAACAAAGTCCAGTTACCTTTTGAAAAAGCATGTCCCGGATGACTGAGAATCTCCATAGAAAGCCTTCTTAGGAGAAAATTCTCTGCAAAATAGGAATGAAAGCTTGAAGACTGAGTTCTTCAGTGAACTATTCTCTTTTAATGGAATCATTGTGTTTAAACATCAAAAGAATGAAAAAATGAAAGAAGTCAAAGCCTTGGATGAGACTTAAAATGTAAGATTGGTGAAGGAATGTGGCTAAATATGGCATTAAGGCCATACCTGTTAAACCAGTGTTGCATATGCTGAGTCTCATATTTTGATAGGAATCCTTACCTCCTATCTCTAAATCGGGTGTATCTCGTGTTAACATTCCAGCAGTGAAGGAGAAAGGTAATATCTTGTCTCCTAAGATGGGGTGATAGATACCTGTGTCCTGCAGGAAAATTATGATTATGGCAATGATTTAGATCCCTATTATCATCTTGGGGGGAAAACAGTTGCTCCTCCTGCACCCATCCTTGCATGTTAGTTGAAAGCCCAGGCATCTACAGGGGGACAAGGGACATCATGGCATTGTACTATCATTGTGCAAATGATGCAAATGCTCCATGCAACTTTCTTATAGCTTCTATCAGATATCAAGAGTAACTTACAGTGGTCAACTGTAAGCAAGTTGAAAGGAAACCCTGGTATTCCTTCAGTTGGAGAGGTTGGGACAAACATGGTTCTTTAAGTTTATTTTCTTTGTGTAGTCCTTTACATTCTGACTATCCTTTTGCAATTTAGAGGAGTCTTATGCTGGAAGTGGAAAGGAAGCCCCCTCATGCCTCCCCAACCTCTCCTTCAGAACATTTCTTCCTTAGCTGAAAACCCATCCTTGCTAGCAGCTTTGGAGGGTGATTATTGGGATGGGTTATCTGTGCCAATGCTTCAGTGGGAGGTTAAATGCTCTTGTCTCAGCGGATGACAAGATCACTCCTTCCACAGGGCTTGATGATAGATTGCAGGAGTAACTGCCTTATGGAAATGATCCCTGAAAACAAGGAGGAAAGCAGGCTACAGCCCTGCAGAAGCCTAATTAGCTGGACGCTTTCCTTCGTCTATCCCAGTGTTTCTCAACCTTGACAATTTTAAGGCATGTGGACTTCAACTCCCAGAATTCCACAGCCAGCATTGCTGGCTGTGGAATTCTGGGAGTTGAAGTCCACATGCCTTAAAATTGTCAAGGTTGAGAAACACTGGTCTATCCCAAGCCACTACTACCCTCGTCCCAGGAAGGATCCCTCAAGAGCAGGGGTGGGCAGTTTATGGTCCCAAAGGGCCACATGAGAAACTGGGACTGTTGTGGAGGGCAGGCGCCCCCCCACCCACCCCGTCACTGTCCCAACCCTGATGACAGTGCCCGCTGTTGTGGGCCAGATGAGACCCATGGAGTGTAAAATGCCCAGGTCTGCTCAAGAAGGAGGGAGGAAGTCAACAACAATGCTCCCGAGACTTATGTGACAGATCTCTTGCCTGCTTTTTCATTAATAATTGGGTTTATATTTGCAGATATTTATACAGATTATAAATTCTTTTCCGTATATTGTTCTGAAAGGTAGTAAATAAATGACTTTAATCAATCCACTGAGAATATATCATGCTTCCAACTCTGAGACCATTTTGGGGAGAGAGAAAGAGAGAGACTTCACTGGAAGCCCTGAAATTTGAGATGCTGGAGTACGGAGGCATCCAAGTTTGCAGTTTTTCTGGAACTGGATTTGGAGAGACCTACAAAGGCTTTCCTATTTTGACCACTTTAGCTAGTTTGGAGAGCTGTAGGAAGAACAAACACCCTTCCCCCCCCCCCTCTCTCTCTCTCTTGAATAAACTATGGATAGTAAGCACCATATACGATGAATTATTTCTGCTTTAAAGCATCCAAAAGAGGTTGCTCCAACAATCACATTTATAATTTAATATTTTCATGCGCTTCTTTTCCTTCTAGAGCTACTGTTTTTGTGTCATGTATTCATTAAAAACAAATGGGAAACAGTTGCTGTGTCAAATTTCAACTGAGGAGAACTTGATCCAGCACCTCTTCTCAGAGCCAGAAAGTTTACTGAGCAGCCTTGATCCAGTCCTCAAGCTGTTTATAGGAACAGATCTCATAAATGTCATATCCTTGCAGGGTGCTGCATTTATGCATAGAAGAGCCCAGAGTTTGTAAGCGCTATGCATCCACTTGGGATTTTGTAGATTGGAGGGCCTCTCCTTCTATTTCTTTATCCTGGTTTTAGTAAGGATGAGAGAGACCATTCTGCATGGTACAGCATGTCCCTTGGAGCAGGGTGGAAAAAGGTGGGTTCTCTAGATACTGGAAGTACAATTCCCATCATCTTGACAATTGACTATTCTGGTTTGGGCTGATGAGAAACATGTTCAGCAATCTCTGGCATATCAGAGGTTATTGCCTCATGTTTGTTTTTTGGTTTTTTTTAAAAAAGGCAGGATAAAACTGTAATGTGGATTAAGCCTGTAACCATTATTCTCCCTACCTTGTATGCTTCAATGTGTGCGTGTATGCAAGGGAGAAACACGGTTATGGAAGAAAAAGACTCAACAAAAGGCCATTGTGATTGTTTCAGGCAAAGCAGACTGAGGATCACTTAATTCAGCATTTACTCATGAGAATTATTCCCACAAGGAATCAGGCAACTCTGCCTGCTTTGGCTCAGAATACAGAAGGCAATTGAATCAAAGGAATCCATTTCCACTCGCATTCATCCAGCCTGGGAAATTCAGTGGGCCGCAGCATTTGTGTCAGCAGGGGATTCCTTGCTCCTAGCGTTAAATTACTGTCATAATCGCTCAATTATTTCTTCCTTGTACTGTTTAAAATAAAAATCCATCACATTCTGAGGTTCTCCCCCCCATCATTTATTAGGTTGAGTGTTTAGGAAAATCAATTATACTCAGTCGGGCATGAATTGATGAATGTTCGTGCAATAATTGCCAGTTGTTAAATCAAATGTACATTCTCTCCCTCTCCCCCATCCTCACTTCCTGATTCTCCCCCCCCCCCCTCTTTTTCAGAGGGCAGAGGTAGCTCAAAGAGAAGCAGAGTCCTTGAAGGAGCAACTCTCATCTGCAAACAAATCTCTCCAGCTGGCTAACCAGATTCAGAAAGCACCGGATGTGGTAAGAGGCAGCACCTATTTCCAATAATCCCCTTTCTGGAATGCCTGCCATCAAACTTCTTAAACTTTCCTCCTGTGTAGAGCTAAATTATTTAGCCAGAATCTTCTACCCTGGAAATCTTATTTTCCTCTACTACCTTTAAATAGAATTACTTTTATCTGTCCACCTCAGAACTGGACCTTTCAGGAGTAGGGTGTTAGTTAGTAGGGAAGCGTGTATTAATAGCTCCACAGTTTTCCTAGGGAAGCTGGAAGGTCTTTAGACTTGCTGATCTAAAGCCACTTCTCCTGCTTTCTTCTGCCAGTAGATTGCTGAAATTATATTTATTTATTTAAAACATTTATACAGCTGCCCATTTTAAAACCAACCCTGGGCAGCTTAAAAGTAATTTGGGGATGGAAAACGGAATAGGGGATGTATGGAATTTCATGCTATGCCTCTAATTATTTTGTACCGGTTGCATGCTAGCAAGTTACAGAAAGTGATGTCTCTCCCTTGCTGCTGAACCATCTTTTCATCTCCAGGAGCAGTGAGCATTTATATGATATGTAGCCCTTAGAATAGATCCTGCATTATTCTCATGGTTAGGGCCCAGCTCTCATGATAATGGAGGTTTTTTTTCTTGTTGTTCTATGCATAGCCTAACACTTCTAGGTACAGGGAGTTCTTGACTTAACAACAGTTCATTTAGTGACCGTTTGAAGTTATAATGGCACCTTTGACCATTTTTCACACTTAAAACCTTGGCAACATCCCTATGGCCACAAAATCAGAATTCGAACAGTTGGCAACTGGCCTGTATTTATGACCGTTGCAATGTCCCGGGGTCATGTGATCCCCTTTTGCGACCTTCCTGACAAGCAAAGTCAATGGGGAAGACAGATTCACTTAATGACCGTGTTACTAACTAAACAGCTGCAATGATTCACTTAATTGTGGCAAGAAATATTGTAAAATGTCTCGCTTAGCAACAGAAATAATAATAATAATAATAATAAATAATTAATAATAATAGTTGGAAGGGATCTTGGAGGTCATCTAGTCCAACCCCCTGCTCAGGCAGGATACCCTATACCATTTCGGACAAATGGCTGTCCAGTCTCTTCTTAAAAACTTCCAGTGTTGGAGCATTCACCGCTTCTGGAGGCAGGTTGTTCCACTGGTTAATTGTTCTCACTGTCAGGAAGTTTCTCCTTAGTTCTAGATTGATTCTCTCCTTGATTAGTTTCCACCCGTTGCTTCTTGTCCTGCCTTCAGGCGCTTTGGAAAATAGCTTGACTCCCTCTTCTTTATGGCAGCCCCTGAGATATTGGAACACTGCTATCATGTCCCCCCTCATCCTTCTCTTCATTAACTAGACATACCCAATTCCAGCAGCCGTTCCTTATATGCTTTAGCCTCCTGCCTGAGCAGGGGGTTGGACTAGAAGACCTCAAGGGTCCCTTCCAACTCCATTATTATCAAGGCAATTTCTAGTTTTAAGTGTTCAGTTCCAGTTAAGTGCTAAGCAAGCTACAGGCCCTGGATTATTTGGGTGGCTTATTTACTGAATTAGAGTTGGTCTCAAACATTTGATTTCTAGTTTGTATATAATTGCAACCCAATCCTGAAAGTTCACATAAATTACCAGTTCCAAAGTTGATCAAATGCTGCCTTAGTTAAAAGTTTCATAAGAACTATGGAAACAGTCTCCAGAAGGCTCAAGAGTGTCACTACCAAAACATCCAAGAATGTTTATTATTCAAAATAATAGTGATTAATTAACAGAACATTGTATATTGAAGTATGATTGAAGCAAATATTAGTTACAGCACAAACTTCAGAGGTCCCTTCCAGGCCTATGATTCAGTTAAACAAAATGTGCTAACAATAGCAGTACAAGATAATCAGGATTATTTTACAAGCCCAGCTTTCTCCCAAATTGCTATCCTTGGGAGGGAGGGAGGGAGGGAAGTACAAGTCCAATACATCTAGAAATAGCCAGGCTGCGGAAGGCTGTTGGCCTTGAAAGTAGATTTTCTGGGTAGAAGTTCCATTGCATAAAATAAGAAATTGTGTGGAAATAAAAATTAGACTGCATAATAAATTCTGACTTAATCCAAAAAGCTGACTTATTTATCAGACTTGTAAACTAACGACACCGATTAATAGCTGTGACTTAAAAAGCAGTTATGTTCATTGACTTTAATTCAAATTAAATATCCTTTTAAAAAGTTCTCAAACAGCCCCCATCAGACAGCAACTCTGTATCTGTAAATACAAAATGATTTGTATTTTAAAATGCAGAGAACAAAAAGGAGACATTTCTTCTCTCACACTGAAATCTGGAACATATGCATTTTCTATTAAATCTGTTTCTTAATTTGCCAAGAGTTGAGTCTTTGTTACATGTATGCAAATATTATTGAGGTGATTGATGCTACATGTTTTTGTTAATCATGACTGACTTCAGATGTGTTTTATTCTTTGGCAGTTCTGTAAATTCAGCTGCACAAATTATTTGTTGGAGAAAGATGTTAGTAATCAAGCTGAAAACAATGATAATGAGGAAATCTGGCAGATCACTCTAGGAAGGAGAACCTATAGTCCAGATCCCACTTTCCATACCTTGAGTTCACCTCCTAATTGCCACTGAAATTAGGGAATGGAAAAGGGGCTCTAAAGAGAGTTTTATGGCACCAGGAATCATTGGATAGGTTATATATTTAGGAGTCTCTATTTTGGGTGAAAAACACCCTAAAATGCCATATGGAATAAATCAGATTATACATTGAAACAATGATGTAATCAGTTTAAGCAAGATTTTGTCAACCTTTTTTTCTCTAGCGTGTTTTAACACTTCCCCCCCAAAAATAGTACATTTGATACTGGGAATTTTAGGTTGACCTGTCCATTCTCTATAACCTCATACTAGCTTTTCATTTTTATTCTCCAACATTTTTAATGCGCTGCAGGTAATCTTTGGCATGTTGCTTTGCCACTGTGTGATCTTCTCTGTCTCCTCTCTCTCTCTCTCTCTCCAATTTCCTTTATCTCTTAGGAGCAGGCCATTGAAGTGTTAACACGATCCAGCCTGGAAGTAGAACTGGCCTCCAAAGAACGAGAAATTGCTCAGCTGGTTGAAGATGTTCAGAGACTTCAAGGCAACCTTACCAAGCTTCGGGAAAATTCCACCAGCCAGATCTCCCAGCTCGAGCAGCAGCTGACTGCCAAGAACAGCACTCTCAAAGTAAGCAAGCAGTTTGGTTTCCTCCATTGCTTTAGATAGGATCTGGGAGGAAAGTAAATTGCACATTTGGGCCTCTAATGCTATTTTGACAAGTACACGTTATTCTTACTGCTGTGATAGGTCCTTTCAACCAGTTAATTTAGAATTCAGATTGGTTCTGTCAGAAAAAAAAGCATCCAAGAGAAAGGTAAAAGTAAAGATTTCCCCTTTACCAGTTATATCTGACTTAGGAGGCAGTGCTTATCTCCATTTCCTAGCCAAGGGTGCCAAGTTGTCTGAAGATACGTCCATGGTCATGTGGCCAGAATGACTATATGCCGAGGCACACAGAACGCTGTTACTTTGCCACCGAAGTGGTATCTGTCTACTTGTATTTAGGTGCTTTCAAACTGCTAGATGGGCAGGAGCTGGTACAAGTAACAGGAGCTCACCCCTGTTGCGCAGTGCTTGGGTCTCAAACCTGGACTGTCAGTAAGTCAGCAGATACAGTCCATTTGTTCAGGAAATTTAACTGCCATTCACAGGCCAGAATCTTGAGATACTTTCATATGCCCAGGAAACAACCAGTCTCTGAGGGTTTACAGGAGGGCAGTGTCTTTGGGGAGTTTGCTGTTTGGGAAGCAGAGATTTTGAGTGATAACATATTACATATTTCATGAGAGCCAGTTTGGTATAGAGGTTAAGGCATCAGGCTAGAAACCCAGAGATTAGCTGTAGTCCTGTCTTAGGCACAAAGCCAACTGAATGGCCTTGGCCAGTTACTTTCTCTCAGCCTTAGGAAGGAGGCAGTGGCAAACCACTTCTGAAAAGCCTTGCCAAGAAAACTGCAGAGACTTGTCCAGGCTCTGAGAGGGTTGAACAGAAGTTTAAAAAAAAACAACCCCATACTACATAAGCCCTATTTCTTGATTTGAAATCGGGTGAAGTCTGGTATGCATAGATATATGTTCCTTAGTTGGAGAAAAGACAACACAGCCTGATACTCTACCTCCAATATTTGGTTGGATATTATTAATATAAAATCCTGGTTCAGAGCTGTGTGATCCCCCCCCTCCATTGGAGGAAGAGATTAAATTTGATGCAGATTGAGTGATTAAATACGAGACAAACTAAAATCTGAAAGATTTATTAAGCTGATCTTCCTCATTCATTTTTTGTGCCCAATGCTTAGGTTAATACATCGGATGGGCTTCTTGATAAACTTTTCTTAACTGCTGCATAGGAATTTCTCCCATCCCCCTTCTGTTAATGCATCATCTGCAAGCCCGTGGAGGAGTATTTTTAGACCTTGCACAGCATTAGAATCATGTCTTTTATTTTGTCTGAAAAAGAACCAAGTTGATAGTTAGAGCCAGATTGTCTCACAGCTTGAACTTTTTGTTCCACTCTGTGTTTCACTGGGTTCTTCCAGACAATTATTATGCTAATCTTTTTCCACAACTGTTGCAGGCTGTGGAAGCACTCAATCTAAATGGCTGGAGTGCACAGTTTCACAGTTTGTCAAAGGCCCTACTAAGTCAGTTTTTCCAATTTCTCTTCTTCCTATGATGATAGGTATCTGCATGTTCAAAGTGGGGGGAACAACCATCAATTTCAAAAAAGACCTAGATTTGAGCAGAAGATGGTAGTTAGCTTGAAGAGAAGTCAATAGATCAGACATTACAATATTGTAAAACAAAAAACAAAAAAACCTCAATCCCTACTGATGAATTCAAGAAATGTCTAACAGTGAAAGTTCTATATTGCTTAAAGCTTTGTAGATTGAAAGCTGAATTTTAAATCTTATTTGATATCTAATTGCAACCAATACAGTTGCTTCAACACAGATTTAATGTGTGCAGCACCAGACATCCATTCAGCAACCTGGCTTCATTCAAGATCATCCACAGTTTTCAGATCAAGCATAAACATAGACATAACAATAATCCATGCCTGATTCTACCAGTGTGTAAATAACATTTATTAATCTGTACCTCTCCAGAAAAGGGCATCATTGGTTTATTAATTAAACAAGAAAATAGCCACTCCAGAACACAAGAGTCAATTTGGACCATAAGTGTAAATTAGAATATACGACAAAATCTTTGCTTATTTCTTCTAAGGCAGCAAAGTCTCATTTAGAATAGGCAGATTGTCCACATCCTATGTTTGAGAACTATCCACAAACCCCCCAAAGTGGTCTTGCGTTCAGGAATTCCTGAGCTAGCCATGCTGGCTTAGGAATTCTGGAAGTTGAAGTCTACGAGTCATAAAAGAGCCAAGGTTGCCTACCCCTGATCTAGACACATAGTCTCAGTGATATACAGAAGAAGAGCTGATGTCATTGATAAACCACAGGAAATCAATTTGTTCACATCAGACTATAAATAACAACAGCAACAACTATATTTATTAACTTTGTAGGAAGGCCAAAGGCAATAAAACTAATCAAAATTATTTTTCATTTCTTTATTGCCTATAAGCAACTGGAAGAAAAGTTGAAGGTGCAAGCTGACTATGATGAGGTTAAGAAAGAATTAAAGTAAGTGTATCCACCATTGAGTTGCAGCACTTTTTCTATTTAAATGAAATGGTTTTGAGCTAAGACTCAACTTGTAGTCACCAAGCCAAAAAAAAATAAAAAATGAAATGAAATATTTGTCATTTAGGGCTATCAATCTGTGATACTGAAGAGGTTAAGCATTATGGTACCCATACATATCACATATGCAAAGAAATTTTGAGAAATGTGTCTTGAACATTGTTTTTCAATCGCTTAATAGAATAATTGTTTTTGTGAAAATATAAGAGGGCTTCTTTGAGTTCTTAATTTTAAGGTGCCCTGTATTCAAATAGAGAACATAGTGCAGGGTCCAATCTGGATTGGTCACTGGGATCAGAGGTTTTGTCTTCAGAGCTTTTGGACTTGTGCTGGAGCCCACCTTCAGCCTAGAGCAGGGGTCCTCAACCCCTGGGCCATGGACCAGTATCGGGCCGCAGCATGCCAGCAACCAGTCCACACAAACAAGCAAAGCCCCATCCATGAGATGCAGGCAGCACACAAAACCACACCCCCTCCGGTATGGAGAAAAACCTCTCTCTATGGAACCGGTCCCTGATGTTCAAAAGGTTGGGGACCTCTGGCCTAGAGAGAGGATGGGGCTCCAGCACAAGTCCAAAAGCCCAGAAGACAAAACCTCTGATCCCAGTGACTGACCCAGATCGGACCCTGCAACATTATCCTGGGACACATATAGTCGCCTTCATTTGTGAGAGAACATTGTCTCCAGGTACCAGTTAAACAACCAAAATTTAACTGAATTTTAAATTTAAGATCTCTGCTGTTTTAATGTTTCATATGGCATTTTTATTAAATAATTGTGAACCACCTAGAGTCACCTTTGACCAATGGATGGTATATAAGTGCAATAAATAATAATAAACTACTACCAAACCTGGTCTAGATTTGTGGAGATTCAAAGTTTACAGACAGACTCCAAAAAAGGGAAACTCTAAAAGAAGAAAGTAACTCTCCAAGTAATTGAATAAGGATTGGATAGGCCCAGTTATCATAAAATGCTGACAAATGAGTGAAATTTAAAAAGATGGTGGAGGGGAGCCAGAGCAGACTGGGGAAACCTGGAAACAAAGCAAACCTGTAGCCTGGCTAGAGCCTTAAAGAGGGCAACTCCCTGCTGTAATTTTTTTGTTATAGGTCCCACTTGAACTTACCAGTTTTGTAAGCCACCTTGTGGACTTGCTTAAACTTCACAGAGTCACTGTAGAAAGATCCATTAGAGTTGGTCTGCCAAGTAGAAAAGGGAAGTGCAGATACTCTGAAAATTGTAGGGATTCTACCACAGACGGAGGAAAGCAGAAATATTTCTTTTTGAAGTAAGCAGTGTGAAATGAAGAATGCATCTTTCCTAGCAGGCCTCTAAAAATAGTTTAAGGAGACCCAGATTTACTGACTTTAATTATTATAAATAAATATAAAATCCTACCATTTTACCCCTAGGGTACTCATACCATCTCTGTTCCCCTATCTATTCTTTCATATTGTCCACTCGCAGTACCCTTTTCATATACTGGCTTATATTCCAGCATGAAATAATGGCCATTTGTCAGCAGAAGCCCTCTGCACTGTGTGTACGACAAGAGTAGTCAGGCGACGCTAAAAAAAATAAATGGATTCGTTTTTGATGTCAAAAATGAGCCATGTTCAAATACAAAGAAGGGAACACATAAACTCTCTGGGCTAATATCTCAAGATGGTTGTCCTTGAGAAAAGAAATGCCAAAGACTGATTTTATATGAAACAACTGAGTTGAAATTTATTCATTTGAAGATTTAGCACTATTTTTCAAGGATTACATCGAGGCCATTTTGCATCACACTGCATGTGTTAAATGGCTCACTGGTGCTATAATGTGTCACACCTAATAACTGTTTTGTGATTGTCCATTGTCAAGAATGTAATTATGACATATGTCTATACCACGGGTCGGCAACCCGCGGCTCCGGAGCCGCATGCGGCTCTTTCAGCCATCTCCTGCGGCTCCCTGTCCTCAGCCACCATGTGCAGTCTGGAAAAAAAAAAGTGAGACTAAAAAAGTTCAACCAATCAATTCAAACTTCTCATGAAGTTTGAATTGATTGGCTGAACTTCTTTGGTTTGTGGGACTGCCCACAAACCTCTTTCCTTCTTCGTACTGCACGTGGTGGCCGGGAGGATTGCTGGAAAGGTGTCCCTGGTAAGGAGCCGCGGGTGGCCGGTCTCGGGGTGCCTCTTCCCTGCCCGGCGGGTCTCCCCTCACCCTGCTCCGCCGCCGCCGCCGGGGGTCTTCCGGAGCTTCCCCTCTCTGCCTGCACCTTTCGGCCATCTCACGGGCAGCGGATTCCCCCGTGGCACCTGCCCGGCCCTTTACCCACTGCTGCGCGGTCCTCTTGGCCGTCCTCTCGCTGCCGCTGCTGCCGGTCACACTGAGCGAGGCTGAAGAGGCGGCGAGCGGGCAGCCGTGCCCCTTCGCCGTCCTGCCGCCGCCGCCGCCCTCGGTGCTGCAGGAAAAGGAGACCTTGGGCTGTGAGGGCGGCGAGGCCGACAGCGGGTTGGGACCCCCCCTCATCCCCGCGGCAGCATTCCCCGTTGCCGGCGCGGCCACCAATGGTGCACCCGGCCTTGGGCTGAGGATGCAGTGGGGGTGGCGGCTGAGCCCGGGGGTGGCAGGGACTCCCGACAATGCTGCAGTGGCCGCCGCCGCCGAAGCCGCTGCCTCCCGTCCTGCTCCCCCTCCCCGCCCGTTCGGCATGCCTGTTTGGCTGGGGCGGCGGCTTCCTCGCCCTCCTCCTCCCCTTATTCCTCCTGCTGCCAACGGGCGGCTCGGGCAGGTGCCGGGGCAAGAGGGGTTCCTGGGGGGGAGCAGCCGGGCCGGCGGAGGAGCTGGCAGCGGCTACATTGGATGGGCGGAGGGTGAGCCTGGGCATCGCAGAGTCCCGGCGGGGGCGGCTTCCTCGCCCTCCTCCCCTTCTTCCTTCTGCTGCCTCCCGGGCGGCTCGGGCGGGCACCAGGGCAAGAGGGGTGCCCAGGGGGAGCAGCCGGGCTGGCGGAGGGGCTGGCAGGGGCCGGTCAAGCAGAGCAGCCGCAGCATTGCGGCCAGGGCCAGCGGCCCGCATGGCAACAGCCCCGGCCACGGCTACATCAGATGGGCAGAGGGTGAGCCCGGACAGCGTGAAGTCCCAGCTGAGGCGGCGGCGGCAGCTTCCTTGCCCTCCTCCTCCCCTTCTTCCTCCCGCTGCCCCCTGGGCGGCATTCCCGGCTGGGGCAGTGGCAGGCGCCAGCATTGCTCCCTGGGCAGCCGAGCCAACCCCGCGTCTCCCTGAGCCGGTCCAGCGGGGGTGGCAGCCGGCAGGGGCATCGCTCCCTGAGCCGTCCCTGGGCAGCCGAGCCGGCCACGCATGTCCCCGGTGCCATTTGGTGCTGTTTACACGGCCGTTCGTCCGCGTGACTGAGATAGGCAGCGCCGCCCCGCTCCGCTCTCGTTTCCCCAGACCAGAGTTGGTGCCGCTGCCTATCTCAGTCACACGGACGAACGGCCATGTAAACAGCACCAGATGGCTCCGCCGCCGCCGCTGGAGATGAGCTTGAAGGTGAGGCTGCCTGCTCCCACCTCCTGCGGAGCAGAACTGCTGCTTCCTCGCCCTCCCAGCGAAAGAACCCCAGAGAGGTGGAAGACATCCTTTCTCCCACTTTCCGCTTCTCATCCTCTCTTTTCCAAGCACCTCTCCCAGAGCGAGCCAGAAGCCTCAACTGCAGCCTCCCACAGCAGGCTGAGATAGGCGAGCTCGCAGCTCCTTCAGCCCGTCGGCCTCCCCCTCCGCTCCCTGGGAACCTTCGCGCCAAAAGGCGGAAAGAAGAAAGTCCCAGAGAGGGAGAGCGTGAGGTGGGGGGAGAGCAGTCTTTTCTGAGGGGAGGAGAAGCCAGGACGGAGCTGGACAGGAGGCAGAGCCGGTGCAAGTCTTGCCTTCGTGTCCACTCTTTAAATCAAGCCTCCTGTTCTGTGCGCATGTGCGCGCACGCGCGTATGTGCGCACACATTATGCGGCTCCCAGTTTTTTCTTTTGTGAGCAAAACGAGTCCAAGTGGCTCTTTCAGTGTTTCAGCTTGCCGACCCCTGGTCTATACCATCTACTTCGTGTTTTCCGCTGACCATACTGCATGCAGTTCCACCCATTTAATCTTTGTGTATATTTTAATATATAATTTTTATTAAGAATTTTAAACAGAAAAAAAACTAAGAACAACTTATACAAAGAGAAAGAAGGGGAACAAAGAAAAAGTCAAGAATGCAAAAAGAAAAAATAGAAAGTAGTTGCTTCCAATTTTCTTTATAGCAGGGGTGTCCAACCTTGGCAATTCTAAGACTTGTGGACTTCAACTCCCAAAATTCCCAGCCAACTGGCTGGGGAATTTTGGGAGTTGAGGTCCACAGGTCTTAAAGTTGCCAAGGTTGGACACCCCTGCTTTACAGTATAAATCCCAATTACAAATATACTATATTACCTTTTATTCCATTGTTACAAAAACAATTTCTCCCTTTTTATTATCTTTTTCCCTAATTCAATATGTAGCCGTACGTTTTTTGTTTAATGCAAAAAGTTCATAAATTTCCAGTTAGCAATGAATGTACATAGTGTTTTTTTTCTTTTTTCAAATATTTTGTTCCTTAATTTAGCCATCTCTGCAAATTCCAGCATCTTCACCAACTGTTCCTCCCTTGTGGATACGTCTTTTCACTTTTGTGAATATAATAATTTTGCTGTACTTGTCATATATAAAAACAAAATTCCATGACTTTTTTCTAGTTGTTTGTCCATCAATCCCAAAAATAAATCCTCTAGTTGTATCTGTTGTGGTTTTTGTGTCCCTTCTGACACCTCCATTTGAATCTCTTCCAAATCATCTTTAAATCTTTCTAAAAGCTCTCTCACCTTCTGAATAGAATTCAGTCAAAATCTCTGCTTTTTGAAAGAAAATATTAGATAGGTTGTCCTATCTAAATGAGATTTTTTTTGTGTGTGTATTTAATCTTTCAGTCAACCCCCCCCCCCACTTTCTGCTCAATAAAATGCTAATAGCAATTTCTTTCTTCTAAAGAAACATCTGTATTATCCGTTTTCAATCTTGTATTAAAATGCTGCCGCAAAATGTGATCACTTGCTTTCTTCTTAACAAAGTGCACCAAAATTTTCTTTGACACATTTCTTGTTCTGGCAAATCTAGAATTTATTCTATAAACTTTATCAATCTCTGTTTCAGTATCCTCCTCTTCTCAATCCAAAAAGTTTTCTAAAGCTTTAATAATCCTTTATCTAATATCTTCATCTGAGTTTTCTGGAATTGCTCTAAATCTCAAGTAGAATTCCTCCTCTCGATTTCAATTCTCTTTTCTAACTCTCTATACATAACATCATCTTGCTTTTTAAAATTTCCATTTTCCCATTAATATGTTTTATTTTTCCAAACATTTGTTTTGCAAAACTTTCCAGTTTCCTAACTTTTTCTTTAACCTCTTTTTCCATCTTTGCAAATTTTCCATACATTCTTTTTTGAACTGCTTCAATGTATTATCCAAAGATTATCCAACTTAGTACATGTTATCTAAAACAAATTTGGTGTCATTCTCTTCTCTGCAGGTTGCTCTACCAAACCTCTCCTTCCTTCCATCCTTGCAGCTTTTCTCATTGTTGCCTATTTGATATTATAGTCTAAAGACAGAAGTAACTCTGGCAGAGGAAAGAAACAAACCTCTCTTTTTTTCCTCTTTTCTCTTTCTATGTCTTTAACACTTTCATCTCTGATGACACATTCCACAGCTTCAACCACATCACATTCCACATCTCCATAGCAACAAAATATCAGAGTCTGGATCATATTACCTTACCTTTTGTTTGGTAACATCCACCAATTTCTTGCATTATTTAGATGTGAAAAGAAAGCATTCCCACAAAGGTCTGGTCCATTTGTCTAGTTTAATTCAAGTTTATATAAAAGCACCTTCACCAAAAATAAAAAATAATGAAAATAAAATGTTACTGTATGCTTTGTCCATTTTAAACTTTCTTCAATCATCTGATGGTTTTTTGCCCAAAAATCTTGAATTGTTAAAATCTTAAAGTCTTTTTGTATTTTTTTAATCCAGAAAAACGATACATTCACCAAGAGGGGTCTTTATCTTGCTACAAAAGAATTTTCTCTTTGTAGATTTAAGCAAATCCAAAGTGACTAAAATGGGAATGGCTGGATCCATATAGGCTATATTGTAGCTGTGAGTGAAGATGGAATCCCACAACCCCAGCCACTTGTTTCTGTATATATTCATACAATGCACACAAAGGCATATATATTCCTATGTCACAAGATTGTTCACAAACGCTTTTGCATGTAAGTGTGTGAGTCTTTTTGGTGCCACTTGGTTTTGCTGCATCAAGAATAATACAATTGCTATTCCAGAAATGATTTTAATGTTTAATGACTTTTCTAGGTTTCATAAGAAATATCAAGCAATTATTTTGTCCTGTCACCTTGGAGCAACTGGTTATTTAAATGAAAAAAAAATCTCTGTTGAAAAGCCTGCAATGTGTTGGGCTATGGAAATAATTTGTGTGTACTGTAGATTTCTTGATAAGCGAGCTAGTATATTTTACATATACTTCACATTTAACATTCATTTATGATGATGGTGGTTGTTTGTGTTGATATTTTGCCATTTTATTATGACTGTGTTCCCTCTTTCCCTTCAAGCAACNACAGATTTAATGTGTGCAGCACCAGACATCCATTCAGCAACCTGGCTTCATTCAAGATCATCCACAGTTTTCAGATCAAGCATAAACATAGACATAACAATAATCCATGCCTGATTCTACCAGTGTGTAAATAACATTTATTAATCTGTACCTCTCCAGAAAAGGGCATCATTGGTTTATTAATTAAACAAGAAAATAGGCACTCCAGAACACAAGAGTCATTTTGGACCATAAGTGTAAATTAGAACATACAACAAAATCTTTGCTTATTTCTTCTAAGGCAGCAAAGTCTCATTTAGAATAGGCAGATTGTCCACATCCTATGTTTGAGAACTATCCACAAACCCCAAAAGTGGTCTTGCGTTCAGGATTTCTTAGTCCCTCATTTCATCTAGACCAGGGGTAGGCAACCTTGGCTCTTTTATGACTTGTGGACTTCAACTCCCAGAATTCCTGAGCCAGCCATGCTGGCTTAGGAATTCTGGAAGTTGAAGTCCACGAGTCATAAAAGAGCCAAGGTTGCCTACCCCTGATCTAGACACATAGTCTCAGTGATATACAGAAATAGAGCTGATGTCATTGATAAACCACAGGAAATCAATTTGTTCATATCAGACTATAAATAACAACAGCAACAACTATATTTATTAACTTTGTAGGAAGGCCAAAGGCAATAAGACTAATCAAAATTATTTTTCATTTCTTTATTGCCTATAAGCAACTGGAAGAAAAGTTGAAGGTGCAAGCTGACTATGATGAGGTTAAGAAAGAATTAAAGTAAGTGTATCCACCATTGAGTTGCAGCACTTTTTCTATATAAATGAAATGGTTTTGAGCTAAGACTCAACTTGTAGTCACCAAGCCAAAAAAAAAATATGAAATGAAATATTTGTCATTTAGGGCTATCAATCTGTGATACTGAAGAGGTTAAGCATTATGGTACCCATACATATCACATATGCAAAGAAATTTTGAGAAATGTGTCTTGAACATTGTTTTTCAATCGCTTAATAGAATAATTGTTTTTGTGAAAATATAAGAGGGCTTCTTTGAGTTCTTAATTTTAAGGTGCCCTGTATTGAAATAGAGAACATAGTGCAGGGTCCAATCTGGATTGGTCACTGGGATCAGAGGTTTTGTCTTCAGAGCTTTTGGACTTGTGCTGGAGCCCACCTTCAGCCTAGAGCAGGGGTCCTCAACTCCCGGGCCATGGACCGGTATCGGGCCGCGGCATGCCAGTAACCAGTCCACACAAACAAGCAAAGCCCCATCTATGAGATGCAGGCAGCACACAAAACCACGCCCCCTCCGGTCCGCAGAAAAACCTCTCTCTATGGAACCGGTCCCTGATGTCCAAAAGGTTGGGGACCTCTGGCCTAGAGAGAGGATGGGGCTCCAACACAAGTCCAAAAGCCCAGAAGACAAAACCTCTGATCCCAGTGACTGACCCAGATTGGACCCTGCAACATTATCCTGGGACACATATAGTCGCCTTCATTTGTGAGAGAACATTGTCTCCAGGTACCAGTTAAACAACCAAAATTTAACTGAATTTTAAATTTAAGATCTCTGCTGTTTTAATGTTTCATATGGCATTTTTATTAAATGATTGTGAACCACCTAGAGTCACCTTTGACCAATGGATGGTATATAAGTGCAATAAATAATAATAAAATACTACCAAACCTGGTCTAGATTTGTGGAGACCCAAAGTTTACAGACAGACTCCAAAAAAGGGAAACTCTAAAAGAAGAAAGTAACTCTCCAAGTAATTGAATAAGGATTGGATAGGCCCAGTTATCATAAAATGCTGACAAATGAGTGAAATTTAAAAAGATGGT